CTTCTCCTTCATGATAGTACGGACGCATAGAAATCGAGAAAAAAAACCTGATAAAGGGGCATATTGATTGGACGGGAAGTAGGAACTCCACGTGCTGGCAGGGCAACATGTGGCATGCGAGAAATGGTGAGCGACGACCTTGATCAAGCACGGGTTCTAGAGTCGAGTTTCAGGTCGTGCGCAGGTCAATGGGTCGGAGCCTCAAATTAATCCAGGTTGGTCAAGCGCGACGCATCTCCACTGATGGGACGACACAATGCTCCATCTGCAAGCCAACACATGTCGTTGGCCTCTTCAAACATGCTACCCGCTTCGACGTGCGACTCGTGTTCCGTCGATTACTGCAGTCTGCGCAAAATTTCCAAATTCTGGTGAATGCCCATTCTAACTTATTTTCTTTCAATTTTTATAAATTTTTATTCATAATCCAAATTGAAACTCTCAATAGTCATGTTCAAACTTTTTGAAAATGTGTGTTCTTATCGAAGTTGAGACATTTGAATGCTCCGATTCTGACGTGATTCGTAGTTTCATCATGGAAATAGTGAAGTTCTTCTCTTAGAACATCATTCTAAAAAATAAGATCCTAAAAAGATATCCATATCTCACCTTGTGTTCTTGCTCGTTTCTTGTTGGAATCGGGCAATTCAAATGCCTATACTTCCTCTCATTGTGCCAATGAACTTTTCTACTGAAGGTTCCACAATCAAACTCGCTCCCTAATCGTACCAGATGAAATTCAGTCATTTTCATATAAGAAAAGTAGATGAGTAGCTCCCTTCCGTGTTGATTTTGAGACTTAAACAATGAGGTCACCTTCTCAATCTCACAAGAGTGATTAGTTTATGGTTGGATCATAAACAAAATATTTCTGATTATCATTGGTACTACTTTCCGTGAAAAATCTAATTATAGAGGTAAACCAGACTTTTTACCCAACTGTAATTACTAACAACTCATGAATGATCGACTTGCATGGAGTTCATCTACAAGACTATAGTGGAGTGACTGATAGTTAATAAATGAAAATTAAAAATTGATTAATTAATTATTTTGTATTATTGAAACTTATAACAATTAGGTCCATAAAGTCTCATTGTTAGCTCACATTAAACTAAAATGATCAATTTTGTTGATTTTTTTTTTAATGTCCGAATTAATAAATATATTTTATTAATTCGGACATTAAAAAAATAATAATAATAATTTATTTTCACCTTTAGTACCACTTATTCTCTAATAAATAATTTATTTATTATCCAATCATAAACCCAGTCCCTCTCGAGCCAATAAGAGGGTGAGACCCCATTGTTCAAGTCCCGAAACCAGTACTTAAAACAACTCATTTACTTTCCTTATATGGAAAGGAGTGAATTCCGTCTCATGATATTATGTTCCCAACTCCCTATTTGGTAAGTCCCCAAAATTGTAGGCATGTTGAATCGGTTAAAAGAGTCATTCTCACTAAATCAAAGGACAAGCCCCCTAGGCAGGAGTTCATAACTCACCCAGGATTAAGATCGAGTCGCATATGATCATCATATGAAATATTAATCTTCCCAATTAATGGATTTATGAAGAGAGATTAAATATTTCTTGGTCCAGTCTTATACAAACTCATGGTATAGGATACCCCACTTACATGTCTCCACATGAATGATTTGGATCAAATCATTTGTAACGATTACAAAATGGGTCATATCAATAGTGTTATCAGGATAAGGCACCCAACCTTATTTATATACTAGAGACTCTTTAAGTTATTACTTGAACACGATCTTGTCGTATGTTAATCACATATTGTTCAAAATTACATTAATAACTTTGGATTTTAATAAAATGGATAACAATTAAATTATAAATAAAATAGTATAAATTATTGTTAAAAACTAAATACAAGGCTTTAGGGCATAAATCCCAACCGAGTATACTCGACTTAAGTTCAGCTTAGTTCAATTAGTTGGGCTAGTCTTACCCATAGTATATCCCGAAATCAAGAATCTAGGTTCCCATCATTAATGGCCTATAGTTAGCCTTATCGAGTGAGTACGAGAAGATTCTCTAATTATTATAAGTTTATAAACAAGCTACTTACTCCGTATATTTATTTACTCATTTGTGCTACACATCATATATAATCGAAGAAAAATAGACATTTAATAAATTAATAACCTAAAAAAAGAAAATTATAATGAATTTAAAATGGAGATATTTTAACTTCAACTATTTATAAATTTGATTGGGCCACATTTAATTTAATTAAATTGTTGTAAATGTAAATGTAAATGTAAATGAAATGAAAGAGTTACGGAGGGGGTATTAGAGATCCGTTGGAGAATCAGAGAGATGAGTGTAGAAGGGTCCGAAGATGTAAGTGGTGAACAAAGTTTGTATATTAATAGCAATTGGCAGCTCAATTTTCTCTCGCCGCCGATCTCGTTTTTCTTCTTCATTTCCGGAACCGGAATGTCATACGCCTACCTTTTCAAGTACATCATCATTGGTGATACTGGTACGTGTTGGTATTGATGCTTTTGTCGTTTTCGATCTGATTCCTCAATTGTGTCGCTTTGGTTATGGGTTGGTTTGTGCTTAATCTGTTTCTCTAATTTGATGATGTCAACGCTGCTCTGCTTGGTTTCCCTTTTGATTTGGGACTTGCTGTGTTTAGCTTTGTATTGGATGTTGTTTTCTGTTCGTCGATTGATTGTGAGGTTTGAAACTTAATTGTGCTGTGTTCTCCAGGAGTTGGAAAATCATGTCTTCTTCTCCAGTTTACTGATAAGAGATTTCAGCCTGTTCATGACTTGACTATTGGTGTAGAGTTCGGTGCGAGGATGATCACCATCGACAGCAAGCCAATTAAGTTGCAAATTTGGGATACGGTTAGTTATCTCTCTTTCTTTCTTTCCTTCTTTTTCTGGGAGTTTCTTGTTTCAAATCTTTAGATATTTAACTGTGCCACTTGTCTACTGAATTGAATGAGCTCTGTTCTGGTTTATGGATAGTATTTTACCTTTTCTTGGATCCATTTCAAGGAAAAGAATCTGCAATTATACCAGAGAATAGCGGGTGATCTGCTGCTATAAGCTTAATCTTAGTTCGAGTAAAAGGCGAAAACAATAACTAATAGAACTGGGAAGCTTCCATTCATGCTAAGCTTCCATTCATGCTTACTATGTATAGTCTATACTATTTAGTTTATCATTGTAACATGGCTTTGAATCTGAAAAGTTATCTATAAGTTATGCAACACTTATATATGCTCTTAGCTCAAGTGCTCTGCTTAAACTTAGAGAACATACACATAACATAGTACACTTATTCTATTGCTTAATGATAGTTATTCACTATCTGCTTTGTGTGTAATATGATGATCACTATTGAATCAACGTCATGTATTGTTCATTTCTATTATACATATATACCATAAGATTGGTACAGATGTTCGTTCCTTGTACTCTTTCGATTTAGATTTGTCCTTTTGTTTCTTATTAATTTCATCGAGTTTTTCTGAGTCTGAAGTTTCCCAAAAAAATTGCAGGCTGGTCAAGAATCTTTCAGGTCTATTACAAGGTCCTACTATAGAGGGGCTGCTGGTGCCTTGCTTGTCTATGACATCACCAGGTCTTTTTACCTCTTGGTTCCATTCTAACTTAATACTACTTTTGAGTTTTGATGTAGGGATGTTTCTGTACTTCTGTTATTTGTGTTTGATGTCTTATGCAGCCGTTGGGTAAGACCGTTAGTGTGTTTAACCAAGCTGGTTAAGGTCATTACGTTTAGCAGTTGGAACTAGTCAGTTGGTTCGCTTCAGTTAGCTCTTTATAGTATAAATATTCATTGTTTTGGTTGTATGAAATTCATTCCCCTCAGCTACACCAATTTTCTAGTGAATAAGTAAGGGAGGCTTTTGAAATTCATCCCCCAAATGGGTCAGTATGCGGAACCACTGTTTGAAAGATATTTTAGAAACTTGGAGAGGATACTCCTATTCCTTTTGCAATTCATTATTGTTCTTTTCCTGGGGACCTAATATTCAATCAATTAAACCAGTCATATTGAAGTTGAATTATAATTCATGTTGGGAGTGAGAATTTGTAAAACCCATGATAGACAGCAAGTCACCCAAAAGTATAGTCGTGTAGAAAAAGGGAAAAAGGGAGACTGAGTGATATAAGTACGTGAGGATTGGCAGGCGTGTGCGTTATGATTATGTGGCCATATATTATGGTTAGTTATACTTTTTGTGTATGTTGAAGGCTGCTTATGGCAAAGAGGAGGCTATCTTTTTGCATTTTGCTCAATTGTAGCTCCTTCGGGCATAGTGGAGAGGAGGGGAGCTCTTGAAACTCCCTTGGCATTGCCAAAACAGTTAATAGATAATTTGAGGCCTATCGATCCCTGAGTCACCAGGAAAGCTCACACTTCATGAAAGTAAACAAGACTTGGCCAGAAAGGTTATTGGTTAGTGGGACTGACCATTGTGTTAGAAGGTTGTAGATGTAATCTAAAAGAATTTTGGGTGGACAGCATAAAGTTTAAATGTGAATGCTCGAATTTTCTTGGATTAGTTGTGGTTTATTTTTGTCTTGCATAGTTGTAGGTTTTGTGAGAAGGAAATAACTTGAGCAAGACCGTAGTTGTTAAAATAATGCGGTCAGCCAGGTCTGACAGCAGCCAGCTCTAAACTGTTCCAACTTCATGATGTTTGTCGTGATTCAGCCTTCTAGTTTAACTTGATTGACTGCATAAGCTGAAATGGGGCCTCATCATCATGCCCCTAAATTTCCTGAGTCAATGAGGACATCGAACTTAAGGTTACGTGGCTATCATATTTTTCAGGAGGGAGACTTTTAATCACCTGGCTAGCTGGCTTGAAGATGCAAGACAACATGCTAATGCAAACATGACAATAATGCTTATCGGTAACAAGTGTGATCTTGCACACAGAAGGGCTGTCAGCACTGAGGAAGGGGAGCAGTTTGCAAAGGAACATGGTCTAATTTTCATGGAGGCCTCTGCTAAAACTGCTCAAAATGTTGAGGAGGTGATAGAATAGTCATAAATTGCCTTCCAGAAAGTTCAAAATTAGACACTGTTCATCTCTAAGCTAAGAACATGACATAAAGATATAATATTCATCTTTTTTATATATTGTAAACAGTTCTCCGTCTCACAATCTTCGTGATGATCAACAATTTTTACAGGCATTCATACAAACTGCTGCAACCATATATAAGAAGATCCAGGATGGAGTATTTGATGTATCTAATGAGGTATGAAGCTTGCTTTTTAACTTGCTGCTAAATGTGTACGGAAATGTTTTAGTTTTACCATGGCATTTTCTCTTGCGTCACGGTGATCAAAGTGCATCTGATTAGATTGGGGGTCTTGAATTTACTTTTGACTGTGCTACTTCAAGTGGTGTTTCACCGTTAGTCAAAAGTTATTTAGCTGCTTGAATTGAACAATGTTTGGCCAGTGGCATTTAGCGACTGCTATAAGTGACAGAATTTAGATTCGAGTCTCTAGTCTCTTAGAATTTTGTTGTTACAACGGATGAATAGCGATGAGAATGAATGATGTAAGTGATGCTATGTTCCATCTTATGTGCAGTCATATGGGATAAAAGTTGGATATGGTGGAATCCCAGGGCCATCAGGAGGCAGAGATGGTACTACAGCTCAATCTGGTGGTTGTTGCGGTTAAATCTTGCTGCTCAAAAACTAGTACAAATTGTCCACGTTCTCTTTAAATTCCTTTGTTAATTATGAGTGTCAGAAAACGCCCCCTCACCCTCATAAAAGGGCACCATAATAGGTTATCAGGTGTTTATCTAATGGCCCCAAGGGGTGGCTCCGTTGGCAGGGGCTTGGGGTCTGTTGTTATACCAGCTTAATGATCCAAAACTCAAGCCTTCGGGTGAGCTTAATACCAAAAACCCTTGATGTCGCCCGGATTCTGGCCTTGGGCGGGCATCGGTGCCCTTGGGTATAGAGGAACGAAGTTCTAACTCCCAGTTATCCATAAAGAAGTATTTGTGTAATCATTAGACGTGTTGTGTTTTTGTTAATTATGTCTTGATCATATTTGATTGTAAAGGTAAACTCACATATCAATGCATGTCATTTGTGGCAAAATTGCGTCCTCTTTGATTGTTTAGTATATAATTGGTACCTGAACATCTAAGATACCCAGCAGCAAGATGAACAAACTCATAATATAAGTAAACTCACATATTAACTTCTTTATCTTAAACCATCCAAGTTTAAACTAAAAGTCAAAACATCCCGAAAAGACGTTGCGCAACGTTCTTTTTCATATCAAGGATTGGATTTTCTTAATAATCTCAGTTGGCTCAATCACTGGTAATCTAAAAACAGTACACAATAAGGGACCAGAATATGAATAACTTCCATTTCTTCTTCATAGGGGAACAGATACAAGGCATCATCCAAACTCAAAACAAACTAGAGATTCAAAATCCTTCACCTAATGGCTAAAAGGTCCAATCAAAAGCTATAAAATGAACCAGGCTGTATAAATTCCCCCATACAGTGGTTAAATGCATCTTAATTTATCATCACCAATCGTTTGTTGATATTTTTTGTTTATCTAATCTTTGTTCTACTGTATTCTTGTAGCATCTACCATGAGAAAATCATAAGAATATGAGTTCAAAAATTCTATAACCAACCTTTGGGTCTTGGGCTTCTTGGTAAGTTTGAACTCGAGCCTTCGAAAGGTATATCCGAACATCTCGAATCTTTTATTAGAACACTTCTTGAGGGTAGAAATTGAAAGATCTTAGTAATGAAGAACTTGTACACTGCTAATAGCTCTACCAATAGTCCCTGCAAGAACACAAGCCATCATGGAAGTGATGAAATCTATTGGTATCTCTTACAATGATTTCTCTTCGCAAGACTTTTGAAGCAAACTTGAATGCAGAATGGCAGTCCCCACAGATTCTAATGTTCTTCTTGATCCTAATAGTGAATCCAGGAGGAGTTTTCAATACTGAAAATGCTAATGCTAGCTTCTCACTATGATATTGCAGCTTTACTTCTCTGTCCTGCTGATCCATGAAGAAAAGCACATGGCTTGTGTCTGGTACATACCCAATCTCTTTAATCTTTCCACTTATTTTCTCCCACATCTTCTGGATTTCTTCTCTCATTGGATGTGATTCATCATTTGCCACGAACATATGAACTTCATTCTCAATTTCAACCCAACTGCAGGCAGGTTCTTTCTTAACTCCACTCTCTTTCATCATCTTTCTTACATTAGCTGCATCATTCAATCTACCAGCAGAAGCATAAATATTAGATAACAGTACATGAGGACCTGAGTCATGAGGGTCAAGCTCGAAAATCCGTTCGGCAGCGTAAGCACCCAAATCCATGTTCTTATGCATCCTGCAAGCACCAAGCAAGGCTCCCCAGACAGCTGCGGTAGGTTCGATAGGCATTTCCTTTATGAACTTGTTGGCTTCATCAAGTCGACCTGCTCGACCTAATAGATCAACAACTGTCACATGGTGTGAAACCTGTGGTTCGATCTCGTATTTCTTCATTAGTTCGAAATAATATTGCCCTTCATCTAGAAGCCCTGAATGGCTACAAGCAGTAAGAACAGAGAGGAAAGTAATCTCATTAGGTTGAACTTTGGCCTTTAGCATCTCCTCAAATAGCTGTAAAGCTTCAGCTCCCAATCCATGTTGTGCATATCCAGAAATAATCGAGTTCCACGAAACGACGTCCTGTTTAACCAACCTCTGGAAGACCTTCTTTGCATCCTTGATGCTGCCTGATTTGGCATACATGTCAATGAGAGTGTTTCCAATATAGGCAATCGGTTGTCCCCCAGATTTTATAACATGGGCATGAACCCATTTGCCTTGCTCGAAAGATCCAGAGCTAGCACAAGCAGTAAAAACACTAGAATATGTAAAATGCGTAGGTTCGAAATTCTGCCTTAGCATCTGCCTAAAAAGTTTCATCACATGCTCCCCTTCACCCTTCCGAGCATGACCAGCAATCAGAGCATTCCACGACACCACGTTTTTCGCAGCCAACCCGTTAAAGATCGCTTCGGCTTCTTGCATATGCCCCCACCTAGCATACATATCAAGCAATGAACTTCCCACATGAACATTCATATCAAAGCCATATTTGAGAGAAAACGCATGAAGTTGCCTGCCATGGTCATCACTAGGGCTAGCTCCAGAAGCCTTCAACAAGCTAGACAAAGTGAACTCATTGGGTTGGAAGCCCTGGTGGAACATCTGAGGGAACAAACCAAGAGCTTCAAACGCTCGCCCACTCTGAGAATAGCCACTAATCAACACGGTCCAACTAACCATGTCTCTTGTAGGCATTTTATCAAACAGGTTGTGTGCCTCCTCAAGACTACCACATTTGGCGTACATATTTAAGATAGAATTCTGAATAACAAGATCATTCTCAAACGTAGAGCCCTGGATGTGGGAGTGGATGACTCTGCCCAGCTTGAGTTTGCGCAAGAGAGTACACTTGTTCAGCATTTTACTGTAAAGCGTTCGTTCGGGCTCCAATTTACCATGATTTATGAGGTCCAGAACATAGAGCCCAGTGGAATTAGTGGAAGTTTCAGAAGAAGACATGTGGGTCTTGCGAAGAAGGTCTTCGTCTTGAAGGACACCGGTAAAAGGGACGGCGGCAGCGGCGGCCGAATCCGACTCCGTGAAGGAACAAGGAGGCGGACCTGTGCCGTAGTTTGCGGCGGAGAAGAACCATTTGAATGGTTTGAGTTTAGGAAGATCAGAAAGCACTAAATTCTTGAGAGAAGAAGAAGAAATTGGTGCAATTTTCATAATCAGGAAACTGTAAGAAGTGCAAATCTTCTCACCATAACTGTAACGAAACAACACAATGTCCCTTTCTATGAATTATTGAAAAATAAATAATAAAAAATATATTTACAAAATTAAATTAAATAAAATACCACATAGTATTATATAATTGTTTTTGAAACAAATATATATATTTTTTAAAATAAAAAATATGAACCAATTCAACTTAAATAAATTCATAATTTAAATTAACCTTTAAAAAAAAAATTGTATCTTTTTAGATTATATCTTAAACCTCTTTGAATTTTATATATAATAGATAATATTAATTTTAAATAATTTGATAAACTTGATAATTCACATTAAAAATCAATCTACCCTTAAGTAAATTAAAGTTAACCTAATTTATCTAAACAGTAGAAAAAACATTATTTCAAAATACTTAATAAGAGAAAAATATATGTCAAGATACTCTACCATCTCAATCATTGATTTAGAATCGAGAGTTTATATTTACTTACAAAAGAAAAATAAAAACAATGTAATTAAAGAATTTAACACAAATTCATTATATATATAAATCACCGAGATTTATAGATTACTCTATCTAGTGCCTGAGCATAATTCGTAGTTGTTTCTCTTTACTATTAGATGAGAAGCACATTCTACAAGATTCAACAAATTTTACGTCTTTGAGTCAATCAAACTTCAACATATTTTAATAAAAGGAAATGTCGATGAAAAGATTAATTTATGGGTTGTAGCCCATGAATATATTTTTGTGACATGAATAGATTTTTGTGTTCTCCCTCACCTACAACGTCATTACCAACGACGATAAGGGTAAGAAAGATTCAAACAATGACCTTGTTAAAAGAGGTCGTGACCATGATAGTTTTATCGACATCGATGGGGGGAGTTTGAGTTCGGCTAAAATGCGGGCGAGAAGATGGACAAGAACATGATGGACAAAGTGACTGCCGTGAATACAATAAACTTGTAACAACTACAAAAAAAAACAAAATTGTACGTGTATATGTGTGAAATGTTTATGAAATGACATGGTTGTGGTATGTATGTAATATGATATGATATGTTAATATTATGACACGTATTATAATATGATGTGCTGAGAATATGATTTATGTTATGATGTGACACGTGTGGCAATATAATACAAGTTTTGATAGACTTTATGATATGATACGTGCATAATATGATCTGATATGTTGAAGGACATGTTATGTGTATGATATGACATAATACAACGTATGATATGAATGATACGGTATTCAACGTCGATACATGTCTTAAAGGCTATGTTGTAAATTGATATTGATAAGATAAGGAATCAATACAAGGGGAATAAGATTCGGATTACCTTGTTGATCGAATATCTCAAGACAAGAACATTGTTTGAGATTCGAATCACTCCACAAGCAAGATCGATCATGTCTAGCTTGAATGATTCTTGTTGATCAAATATCTTAAGGCAAGAACACTTGCTTGAGATTCGAATCACTCCACAAGCAAGATTGATCATGTCGAGCTTGAATGATTCTACATGCAACCTAAACTACATAGAGTTGCAAAGAAACTTAGCCATTGGCTAAAGAAAAGCACAAATGCTTCTTTTGATATATCTTCTAAGTCTTATTACAAATACAACATAGATGGCTTTATATAGCCTCAAAATGAAACTAAAAGGCATTCCAAAAGTTGTAACATTCACACTTTATGGCCATAATTAGCCATTATGTAAATGTAACCGAAATTAAATAAAAAGTCTTAAAACACAATAACTCTAAATTATAACTCACCCAAAATTTACAACAATCAAACTTTATTCTTCTTAAATGTAGCATGAATTAAAACATCTTTTGATAATTTTGACAACCTTTTCTTCACATCTTCATTGAAGCACATTGTATGATTGATGTCTCTTGGTTCATATCATTCTCCACTTCTTCAAGAGAATTCGTCCTCGAATCTATTTGTGAAACTTTGCTGCAAAAAATAAGTTATGGAAATACAAAGGACCTCACAACACTCTCTCACGTGTATACACTCAAGGAATTTTAGGCCACTCTGTTTGCACTCATTTACACAAATGAAGCTCTCATTCTCACCTCTCAAAATTTTAAATAGAGCAAAGATTGAATTTTGAACTTTGGGTCGATTAAAAACTAAAAAGATGAAAATAAATAAAAATTAAATTGAGAAGAAACGCAAAGGAAACATATATCCGATCTTGAGCCTGAAGCTCTGATACCAAATGATAAGATAAGGAATCAATACAAGGGGAATAAGATTCGGATTACCTTGTTGATCGAATATCTCAAGACAAGAACATTGTTTGAGATTCGAATCACTCCACAAGCAAGATCGATCATGTCTAGCTTGAATGATTCTTGTTGATCAAATATCTTAAGGCAAGAACACTTGCTTGAGATTCGAATCACTCCACAAGCAGGATTGATCATGTCGAGTTTGAATGATTCTACATGCAATCTAAACTACATAGAATTGCAAAGAAACTTAGTCATCGGCTAAAGAAAAGCACAAATGCTTCTTTATTATATTTTCCAAGTCTGCCTTACAAATACAATATACATGACTTTATATAGCCTCAAAATGAAACTAAAAGACATTCCAAAAGTTGTAACATTCACACTTTATGGTCATAATTAGCCATTATGTAAATGTAACCGAAATTAAATAAAATGTCTTAAAATACAATAACTCTAAATTATAACTCACCCAAAATTTACAACAATCAAACTTTATTCTTCTTAAATGTAGCATGAATTAAAACATCTTTTGATAATTTTGACAACCTTTTCTTCACATCTTCATTGAAGCACATTGTATGATTGATGTCTCTTGGTTCATATCATTCTCCACTTCTTCAAGAGAATTCGTCCTCGAATCTATTTGTGAAACTTTTTCTTTTGAAGTATTAAAAGCAAGTTCTTGATCTTTTTCCCATATAAAGGATACATTTTTCTTAACAAGTTCATTCAATGGTGAAGCAATTGTACTAAAATTCTTAATGAACCTACCGTAGAAACTTGCAAGATCATGAAAACTTCTTACCTCACTTACATTTTTAGGTGTAGGCCACTCTTTTATAGCCTTCACTTTCTCCTCATCAACCTCAACACCATTAGATGAAAGTACAAACCCAAGAAAGTTGACTTTTTCCATGCAAAACCTACATTTCTTTAAATTTACATATAGACATTCATTTCTTAAAGTAGTCAAAACATTGCGTACATGGGTTATATGATCATCTAAAGATTTAGAGTAAATAAGGATGTCATCAAAATAAACAACCACAAACTTACCTAAGTATTCTCGTAAGACATGGTTCATTAGTCTCATGAATGTACTCGGTGCATTAGTTAATCCAAAAGGCATAACCAACCATTCATAAAGACCATACTTGGTTTTAAAAGCTGTTTTCCACTCATCCCCAATATGCATGCGAATTTGATGATAACCCGATTTTAAATCAATCTTAGTAAAAAGACTACATCCATGCAATTCATCAAGCATATCATCTAATCTGGGAATTGGATGCCTATACTTTATAGTTATCTTGTTTATAGCCCTACAATCAACACACATACGCCAAGAACCATCTTTCTTAGGTACAAGAATAACTGGAACAGAACAAGGACTCAAACTTTCACGTACATACCCTTTAGCAAGAAGTTCACTTACTTGCCTTTGTATCTCTTCAGCCTCCTTTGGATTAGTCCTATAAGCTGGTTGGTTTGGAATGGGCGCGCCAGGAATGAAGTCAATCTTGTGTTCAATCCCTCTGAGCGGTGGCAAACTACTAGGCATCTCCTCGGAAAATAAATCTTCAAACTCTTGCAAAAGCACAAAAAAATCACTAGGCAAAGAAGAGTTAAGCATGTTAGTAAAGTAACAAGACCCCTTGCACATAAGTACAAGAATAGTCTGATTAGAGAGCAAAACATTCCTAGCCTCACTTGATCTAACATACAAGCTTACTGATTTGGCTTTTCTCTCTTTTTTTTCTCTAGGCTGAGTGTTACTCTCTTGCTTTTCACTCAAGCTCTTTTTTTCACTTAATTCTTTTTCAATCTATGCTTTTGCATCAGCCTCTTGCCTTTTCTTTTCAAGTTTGCAATGATCAATAAATACATCTTTTGGAGACAATGGGATAAGAGTAGTTTTTCTACCGTTGTGAGTAAAAGAGTATCGATTTGCATACCCATCATACATTACCCGACGATCAAATTGCCATGGCCTCCCAAGTAGTAAATCTCCAACATGCATAGATACAACATCACATAAAACATCATCAACATATTTTCCAATAGTAAATGAAACAAGAGTTTGTTGAGTTACTCGTACTTCCCCACAATCATTCAACCATTGAAGCTTGTAGGGTCTTGGATGTGGTTGTGTCTTTAAATTAAGTCTTTTGACCAGAATGGAACTCACAACATTGGTGCAACTACCACTACCAATGACAACACTACAAGGTACAGATTGAACAAGACAACGAGTTTGAAACAAGTTCTCTCTTTGGTCTAGGTCGTCCTCCTTAATGTGGGTGTTTAGAGCTCGTCGAGTAACCAACGATATATGTGTAGGGTCCTCTTCACTAAACTCCTCACTCTCATCAGTTTCCTCATTTATGTCGTCATGTGCCTCGTCATCCGTAACAATTTCTCCCTCCTTGATGGTCATAATTCTTGCATTTGGGCAATCTCTACTATAGTGTCCTACCCCTTGACATCTCCAACACTTCAAATCCCTATTTCGAACATTAGACTTTTCTACTTTTTCTTTCCCTGTTCTAGAACTCTCCCCTTTCTCAAATTTAGCTTGAGGCTTCTCATTAATCTCTTGATTTCTATGCTTATAATCAATGTTCTTACTATCCTTTTTCCATGTAGAAGTAGAATTGGGAAAAGTTTTAGAAGAATACCGTTGAGACCTTCGTTGGATTTGCCTCTCGATCTTAATTGCAATGTGCAACAACTCCTCAATATTAGAATAAGGCTGTAAATCAGTCTTGTCTGCAATCTCTGTGTTTAACCCATTAAGAAACCGCGCCATGAGAGCCTCCATGTCCTCATCGAGTTCAAGTCGATCCATCAATGTATCCATCTCCTTGTAATAATCCTCCACAGATTTGCGTCCTTGTTTCAATGCTTGAAGCTTTTGCGCCATGTCCCGTTGAAAATATTGTGGAACAAAACGCTTCCTCATGGACTCTTTGAACTCGACCCATGAATCAATTGGTGCTTCAAGATTTCTTCTCCTACTTGACATCAATTTATCCCACCAAATTTGAGCATATTGTTTGAATTGAGCAATGCACAACAGTACCTTCTTTTCATCACTAAAATTATGACAGTTGAACACCGACTCCACCGTTTTCTCCCATTGAAGGTACTCCTCTGGATCGGTTTTGCCATAAAACTTGAAAAGTTTTAATTTGATGCTCCCCACGTTACGATCAATTCTATCATCATAAGGAACTCGTTGTTGTAAATTATGATACCTTCTTCCATGTTCTCTCCCTTGCATCAAGCCATGACCAACCACATGTGGATTATCCTCGTGGTGATCAAAATTGTCGCCCTCATATGTATCGGTCGAGGGCGTAGGTTGTGGAATCCTCTGTCGAGCTTGATTTTGAATCTCCATTCGTCCTATTTGATCAGTCAACTCTTCTATTCCTCGAATTAGTCTTTCCATGGTTCGTTGTTGTGCTTCTCTCAATCGTGCATCAGTAATGTTAGTATTGTCGTCTTGATTTTCCATGCTACAAAAGAAAGGTAAAAGAAAAAAAAAAGGACCTCACATGCACTCCCTCACGTGTATTCACTCGTAAATGTAGTTCACTCGTGTTTAACTCTCAACACTCGAAGCAATGTGTCACTCCCTTACAAACTCACCCTCACAATTGAGCACACACAAATCACACTCCAAAAAGACAAATTGGGATGTGAGACAAGCTATGTTATAGAGCTAAGTGCAATTCAAAGTGAATAGACAGCACACT